CACAACCCAATGGTTATGGCCTTAACAATCTCTTACAAGAGTCTTCTTTTATTGACAGTTTAATTCAGTTACTGAATTTACTAATCACATCAAATATCCCTTTATCTACCTTTCTATCTTCTGCTCAAACACCGTCTAACGTTGCATATCACATGTTAAAACTTCTAATCTCTTATAAATATGGCTTCCAACCAAGTGTTCCTACAGTGGAATGTGAGGAGCGTGTTTCATAAAAAGCACGACCTCATATTTCTACTAAATAAATACCAACCCTTAATTTGTTCTATTGTAGAGACCTGGCTACTGCCTAGTGTTAACTTTTATATTCCCCACTACAACATCCTTAGGTGTGACAGGCCTGATGGATATGGATGTTCTGCCCTTCTAATTGATAATCGTGTTTCCATTCCAACTCTCCCCACTCCATCTTGTCATTATCAGTACTAAAGTTAGTGGGTTGACAGTTATCTATAGAAGAGGTAAACCTTTGCATACTGAATGATGGATCCTACACACGAAGAATTCTGGCCAGGCAGCATAAAAGCTTTGTAGATTTGATCTTTTGCTCTGCTGACATTGCAGCATCGGCTAGCTGGCAGTGCACAAGCTTATCACATGGCAGCGATCATTACCCAATTATAATTTCCTTATCCAGTAGACATTATTTACTTACCTGAAACTCTTCGGCGCCTTTTAAAATACAATGTTTCAAAATCAGACTGGCAAGTATATACCACTTTGCTAGCAGAAAAAGTAAGCACGCTTCCTGATTTTGACTTCAGAAACTTAACTTATGACGATCACTGGCATGTGAATGAGTGTTGTGAAAAATTAGTGAAAGCTCTGATTTTTTTTTATGTTAGAGGGGGCAGACCTGCAGACGGGTCATCTGATGTAAAGTGACAATCGCCGCCCAAGAACGACTGCAACTCAGGAGTCACAAACATGTTGCCGGCCTATTACGAAAGAGTACGCTCTCTTCTTGAAGGTTGTATCGGTTTGGAAGTACCGCTGACGATAACCCGAACCACAAATTGCTTTCCAGGTAATGAGGATGAAAATTTTGCCGTGTGGAACGATGGCGAAATGTTGCGGCTGGTATTAGTCCGAACAATTCCTCAGACTATGCTCCATGATATATGCGATAGAGAATGCAGATGGATGGATGGAAACTGGACTTCGCTCGCTAGGATTCCGATGATGGCTGAGACAGTGAGTTAGTTAACCGATGATTCTTGCTTCAAAATTAAAAATACCGGCTGAGGTAATTTTCCGTCTCCCCCCTGGTGGGACAGTGTATGCACCACAGCTGTTAGGAAAAGAAAAGAGACAGAAAAAAATACAACCTGGAAATGAGCACCGAAAACTTTTTAATTAAAAAAAAAAAAATTATAGCGCAAAGAGATACGGAGGATTCTCCCTTTGTGTTGGAGGGACATGACACCCGTTCAGACTTCAAAGAAGATCAGCAGCAGCACCATCGCCACCATCGTGTACACTTCCATATCGATGAGCAGTAATCAAGTCTCAGCCAGCCATCAACTTTGGGCGCAACATGGATACCACACGCAAGTAGCGACCGCTCCAGCATGGTTACCACTACGGCTTTATCCGCGTCTAGGCACAGTACACTGCACCTAAGGTCCACGTAAGAAGAGCAACTCTCTCCGGTCTACACAGCAGCCAGCCACTAGGCAGTAACCGCCCCGACTTCCGACTCAGTTCCGACTCACTGGAACTACTTACTACTGGCACTGGCACTCTCCACAACAGGGCATAGACGGTTGACTCATCAAGATATCGACCTCCGGTCTTGGAGGGGAGTAATGTGGCAACTTCCACATACGGTGAAACAAAGAAACATATTACGTCATCTAACGAAGACACACCGAACTACGGAGTAACTCCTGAATGAGAATTGCTAGTCATGTATCGCGATATGAAGAATTCTCTAGCCGATTAGCATATATACAACTTTCCAACATCAACCGATGAGCCGCGGTACGCCAGGCATAATCACTTTGCCTGTCGGAGGATCCTCCCTTTCTGTTGGAGGGACATGACACCCGTTCCTAAACAGATTCAATCCAGAAAAGAAGTGACCAGCAAACAATGGGTAGGAAGTGTCGCAAAAAACACCGACTCAATCTTTGCCAGCCAGAAGAAAATACTTTGGAGCGTGCTGATCTCTTGCGCACTCTTAGCTTCTATTAATGGTTGCCATTACGTTTGCATACTCTTTGCAACACCTCACCGTAAGAGTACGCACGGGACGAACATAACGTTTAAGACTTTTTAAAATAATTTAAGACTGTTTTAGTATTATTTTGTTATTAAATGACCAGATTAATTTAAATAATAAATACAAAATGTAATCCGTGTGGTGACGGATTAAGAATACAGAGTGTCACCACCCCTGTTCATCCCGTGGGTGTCGTAAGAGCCGACTAAGAGAGAAAACTACGCAGAACAACAGCACTGCAGAGAGAAGGAAAACTTGAGACAAACCCTATACCAACCCGTCTGGCCAGCGTGGTATAGTAGGCCAAAACCTTCTTTCTAAGGAGAGGCTTATGTCCAGCAGTGGATTATTAAAGGCTGTTGATGATGATGTAATCATAAAGTTGTTTTAATACTTGTAAAAAATAAAAGTTTACAAAATGCGCTCTCTTTGGTGGCTTTACCCTTTTTTTTTTCCGTGCGGAAATCCCCTCGGATACCACCTATCGGTGGCATGTCGGACTCGAACCGACTAAAACCGCACGCCGTCTCGGGTACTAATAGCCGGGGAACCAGGTATACCCTAGAAAGGAAGTCCCTGGTGCCCCGACATACCTCAGGCCATCTACAGACGAGTAGACGACCCCTCCCGTGTGGGAACCCCATGTTCCCTTTGCTCCCTGGAAGCGAGCGCGCTTCGCAACGCGCTCGCCGCCACCCCGGCCTGCTTCTGCTAGGGTGACAGATGGCCTCACCTGTCACCCCCAGGCCTGCGCTTATGGAGGACGGAGGTGCCTGAGTCGCCGGAGGTCGCAGAATGACCTGAGTTCTAAACCTCTCCCGGTCCCGCTCCGCCGTCTCCTTCGCGAGCATAACTTGCTCGCAGAAGGAGACGGCAGAGTTCCACGCACTCTCGCACCGCACGATAGCCGCAATCAGGCTATCGAGCGAGAGAACTCCCAATCCGATGGCCGCCACGAGGTCTCGCCTCTGCTCAACCCACGCCGGGCACTCCGCCAGCGTGTGGAGAGCCGTGTCCACGATCTGGCCATCGCAGTGGTGGCACTCAGGCGTTGGCTCCTTGCGGATCAGACACAGGTGATCCCCGAAACATCCTTTCCCAGTGATCACCTGCGTCAGTCGATATGAGAGGGTCCCGTGACGCCTCTCGAGCATATCCTCCATAACGGGTCTTACCGCCGCGATGACGGAGTGCCCGGCGCTCGGTTGACCGAGTCGTTCCCTACACTCCCCTATGATGATGGTGGCTTTACCCTACACTCATACATTTGGTGTTATTAGTATATATTGCTAAAAAATAAAAATAAAACAGTATAATTAGGTTTCTGTAAGAATTTTTACACTTTGCCGCAATACAAATAGAAAGGCAAGTGTAGGTAATAAGCAGATGCGTGCCATAAATTCGGTGTAAACAAAATATTTAGTTAATTTTAACAAGAAACATACGGGCTAATTCGTTTTCTGAAGTAGAATAAACATTTTGACGGCTTGCACATGATGTAGAAAAATCTTTCAGCCAAATATTTTTGGATATAAAGTAGCCTAGAGAAAACTAACTAAACAAAGACGGCGCTAGATATTTTTTTATAGATTATATTTGATAGATTATTTCATATTCAAAATGCCTTTAAACTAAAATCAAAATTCGTTTCTTCATACCTTACAGTCTTGTATGTTGCCTTTATATTTTGCCTTATGTGTTCTTTTATTTCTTTTTTTATGGTAAATGGAGCGCAACTCAAGATTCACAAGTGCGTTTCCGCCCTTTGAGTTCCACCCCAGAATTACCTACGTTACCAGAGCTCCAAACCTTGAGGGCTTCGTCGCTTTTCTCTCGTAGCGAGTGATGATCACTATATAAAAAGCTGCGAAAGAAATGGTTAGAACTGGTTTTCTGTGAGGCAAGGGTATCACTCCGATCGAGCCGACCTATCTGGGCCGAAGCATTACTCTTACATGGTTAATATGAAATACAGGAAACCTCTCTTAAAGAGAAAGAGCAGGTATACGGGTGATAGAAAATTACTTTTACGTGCGAATGCTAGTTACATAAAAATATTGTTTACTATTTATGCAACTTGGAAACACGGCAAATTCCTTGGGCATTTTTTTTAAGATGTTATTTTACTTATTTTATTAACTCATTCTGGTAAATCTTGGATGGATGACAATGTAAGAATTCTTATAACAACGACGCGATATATCGGTGGGAGAGCTATACTAGCACACATAGGTATAGGCTAGCAACAAAAAACCGGTGTTAGGCAATACTCTCGTTGTTTTCAGCGAGTAAGTGAGGTTGCTGGAGTCCAAACTCTCCCTCCCCGTTTTTCTTAGGTGTCCATGGGGGGCGGTAGGCACTAACCATCAGGTGACCTGTCTGCTCTTCTGCCATTTCTTTTTTTATTGATGAACAAACAGTCGTATTTAGATGTTGTTGACTTATAGATATAATAGCTCCCTAAATTAATACAACATCTAGATCACATTTTAACTTATTAATGATAATAAACTTAATTATGAAAAAAATATTTAAATACTACTAAATACAATAGGCAACATACTAAACCAAAAAGCAACCTGGCTTTTATTCATGAAAGCAGTTGTGTTCTATTTTTTAAAGAAAAAGTAGTAGACACGATAGGGCGGGCGGACTTTAGCTAGTACCGCAAGGTAAAATTTATGAACGGCCGCATTTTCGTGGTCCTGGCGCCGCGCTGACAGCGTCGCTGCGCTGAAGAGCGTACAGATGGGTTGAGATGAGTCAGCAAGTCAGTTAGCGGGGTGGCGGCGGCGGGGGCCACTGCATCGTCCCAGCGCCGCGTGGCGTGGCGTGCGGCATGCGAGTGCCCAATGTGAGTCGTGTGCAGTGTAGCACGCGCCGTCCGCGGCCGCACATCGCTCATCGCGCTACGCCGCCGCCTTACCGCTCTGCCGCACCACGCGTCCGCTGGGCGCGTCGCGCGGGCCGCGGGCCAGGCCCGCGAGCCTGCTGCTTCTGGCCGCGTGGCTGGCGGCCGTTGCTGCAGAGCTCGCCTGTCCTCAAGAGTCACCGGCGGCTACGATCGCGTGCACCTCCTGCCGAGCGTACGAAAACGCGCGGGAATACAGCTTAAGAGTGGTCCGCGAGAGTCTGCTGGCAAAGCTCGGCTTCACTCAGGCCCCAAACACTACAGGGCGTGAATTGCCGGAAGTGCCCGCAGCCCTCATGGCGCGTTTTGAGCGCAGGAAACCGCCGCTGGGCGTGCAGGCTGATGCATCAGCTCCGACGCGAACCTTCGTCACTCATACAGAACAGGACGACTTCCTCGCGCGCACCGACAATGTCGTCATTTTTGCCCGTTAGTACCTTTCTGATTTCATAATAAATCCGGGTATACAGTTTTTTTTAAAGTTCAATAGTGCATAATTTCCACATAGAAGTTAGTTCAATGCCCTTAGCTTAGATATAAGCGGTAGCTCATTATTAACTTTTTATGAAAAAATTGCATTTGCTTAATAAAAATAAATGTTAGTTCTTGTGGAACTAAAATTTGGTGCTGAAGGTAATTTTAATATTGACAAGCCAGTATTTTTATTTTAAAATTCGGTTGCAATCCATTCAAGACTTAATTAAATGTGACGGGTACGATAGTACCTACGTCTAGAATTTGGTCAGCTCGGCTATTGGCATGGTCTGCGAAGTTCATTGACAGGCACGTGTGCAGCCTATAAGTGGGTAAGCCACTTCGTGGTCGTGTCACGCACAGCAAATATTAATTAGCCAATGATTGCTTCAACTTCAACGCGTACATTATGTGCCATTGTCTATAGAACACGACAAGTTGAGATTGCTATCACGATGGTCTCCGACAACTTTTGAATAACAAATCCTGCAACGGTCAATATAGAGCCATTTTGGACATTCAGATATTGCAGGTACATACTTAGTATTCTATTTTAACCCGAAGTTATACCTCGATGTTGAGAGAATTCGTGATTAAAATAGTTATTTTTGGGTGTGGTAAATTGTATAAAATCTTTTAGAATTCTAAGCCTATGTAATTATATAAAAGAAAGTATGCATGCCACAAAAGTAGTAAGGGTGAAATTGTAATGCAAAAACGGGGCTATCAAAGTTCAGGCTAGTATGTAATCTGGTACCGTGAACGAGGGGCTTCGACCGCTGACGATAACGTAACTACTGTGACTTGGCTATAGCTTACGATTAAAATGACAATATTAGCTCACAAACTAACTGATAAAACTTAAAAAATGATTGTGTCAGGATGAAACATAACCAAAAAACACTTTAAAAAATATTCGCAGATCAATAGCAGATGCTTAGTCTGAGCATCAACATGACATAGATTAAGAATTCTATATGTAAATGTGTTAATTTTAGTTTCTAGCTCCAGTGTCTCATAATAACCCTAGTATTGCACGGGTAAAATTGTCATTCAACTTGGATAAATGTATTTTAATAGATTGACTTGCCATTTTACTTGCATGATGAATATTTTATTTGATAAAATATCTTCTTAATACTACCTAATAAGTATGTATGATATACCTATAAATAAACTTGCTTCTCTAGAATAGTGATATTCTTATAATTAGGTGGGTATTAATAGCCCCAGATAAAGGTATGTTATTTTTAGCATATCAAAGTTGATAGTGTCCTAGGTACAACTTAATGCATTGAGAAGGTGCAAGATTTCATTTGTAAATTATAATCTTTTAATAGATATTTCTCTCCCTGTGTGTGTGAGTGCGATGTATGATCTATATAGTATGTTATGCTTAATAAGTTGTTTGTTAAATATACCTGACGGGTAAAAGTGCGTGGCCGCCACCACAAAACTTTTGAACAGTCTGGTATAAATTAACAAATAAATTTATTGTTTGAATAAGGATATGAAGACAGAGGTTAATGATAACAAAATGTAAAAAGTAATATGTGCTAAAGTAGGGTTGTGCAGATGTATTTTGTTGTTGTCGTTCAGTAATTGGCGACCTTTGCGGTATTCAAAATGTTCAATCACAAGTTGACGTAGGTGACGTAGTAGGTGAGTAGCTGAGTAGGCGTCCGACGTCTCTCTGTCTATCACTCGCGCTGGCCGAGGAACACTGCCCTCGACTCATAATAATCGACGTGCAAACGCACCGCCTCCGTTTAACTGTATGACACAATTCCTGACACATTACCTAATCTCGACAACGTACGCTACCACAATTTCGGGACTTCAAAATTCTCAATCTGTACCTAGGTCAAAGTGGGTTATAATTTCAAGGAGAAACCTCTGTTTATTCCTTAAATATTTTAACTGGCCAATGTTCACAGAGGATTAGGCCTATTGGGGAGACCTCTATAAAAAAAGCGCACCTACGGTTCTTACCTCCTGGTGGTGTGGAAAAAGGACCACTATTTTTTTTTCTCAATTAACCAGTATTACACAAATATTTCAAATTTTGGCTATTTATGGACACAGTATATATAAGGAACTTTTGCTTCCCCTGATTGGTTTACCCTTGACCCACAGACAACATCCTGCCAAAACGATGACTACGATCGATAAAGCGGTTATCGCCTCCCTACATCTCCGAACATCATTGAAATATATTGTCGGAAAATTGATATATCGCTCATGAGATGTAACATTGTCAAATATCCATTAATTTAATGTACATCGTAGGTACTTGTCATTTTTATAAATAATCATTTCTTATCAGTGTAGAAGCAAGGACGTGACACTGTTACGAGTTTTTATTACATATAGAAACTACTTACCTATAGCTTGTGCATTTTATACAATCAGTTATCACTATATAATTTACCTTATTGCAAATATGATAAGCTCTTCATAAAACAAGACTTATCGTTTTCTTTCAACGTGGATGTTAATGTTCAAATGTTAAGAATAGATCGCTTAGTGTGGTTAGTAACAGTTCCCCTACACCCACGATTAGCTGAGTGCGAACGTGTTCATAAACGTCTATTGCGGATATCATAAATCGATCCAAAAGTTTACCGCTATCTGATTAAGATTCATACGTACTTACACACTACATAAACAATTAGCACATTTAAAAAAATACTTTCCACTAAGCATAAATAAAGCTTAATGTATCATACTTGTACTCATATTGTACTCATATCAGAACGAATGCTTAATCTGTGATAAGAGTTTATTTACTACTTGATACCAATTTACTTACATTTTTGCTTCAAATAATAGGTCATACGCGAAAAATGTATTCTATAAGGGTATCCTAGCCAAACTCAAAAAATATAATCTTTAATTTAAATATACTTAATGACGAGACGAAGATACGTTTAGTTAGTTTGTGCGCGTGTGCGATCATTGAATTTTGTCCTAACGTGACCTAAAGGTACTTATCGTTTATCGACATATACCTATTTAGTCTCAATGAAAAATTTAGTCTTATTTCTACATAATAGAGTATATATTTGCAAAAAGGTAATATGCAGAGCGAGTAGACTGTCTCGCGCTCGTCTGAGTTGTGCGTGTCAACGAGACGGCCATTTGCGAACGATCGATTGTTTTGGCTGGTGGTAGTCACCTTAATTGCTCATGAATCAAGATGACTTGAGCAGTTTAGTGTGAAATGATTAGGTCTATACTAGACAAATCTATATATTTATAAGTTTATTAACATTATAAATATTTTACAAATCTTTGTATTAAAATTGCGATTCCTTAGAACATTTTGTGTTAAGACAACCTTTCATAATCGTTCTTTTTAGTTATATAGGTGTAGGTTATATTTAGATATTTTTTATTGACGATTTTATATAAGTAGGTAGGTTTGTCATCGTAATATATTTAAGATCCTTAAAACTGTCCAAAAATGTTCATTATTGAAATAAATGCAAAAGGAATTATAAAGGTGAACTATATATATATGTATTATTTTGTTACATAGGTATATTAAGTCCAAATTCAATAATTCAATAGATGAACTTCAAAATTTTTGCACTTAATATTTCAAGTATGTAATGTATGAATACATATTTAGGTATATACTCGTAAGATGTGACTAGACTTTGAATAAAACAGTTTTAATTAGACTATGGATCAAGCAGTAGATTCACACTTCATCTCCTGTGATGTGACTTATGTCTGTGCATGTCTGTCCGTGTTTCGTAGCTATTTGTATGATTCACATTTTATTATTTAACCTTTCTATTTCAAGGTTTTCATGGTTTAGATGTGGTCTGTGTCTTTGTTTACATTCCAGTTTTCTAGGTAACCTTATGGTAGGTGGGCTAGCTAAATAAAAAAATACAGTGTATTTTTTAATTGTATTGTGTATTTTGTTTAATGTAACATACGTAGAAAGAAATGATTTAGTTTTGTAATTTAAAATTATCACCTATGGACATATAAATATTGTTCTCATAGTTAGCCGTTCAGGTGATGTGCGCGATTGAGTTTCTATAACTCGACCATTTTCTATAGAGTTGCACATTTCAAATGAGCATACCGCTACAAATAAATTGAATGATATTTATGCATTTTAATTTCTGTGAGATTTTAAATTAAATTGTATGTTTATATTTTATAAGTAATGTTGATATCGTATTATTTCGATAAATGAGTACCTATCTGTAAAAATTGGCGCTCTGTTCAATTCAAAGTACTGTGTGATAACATTAGCTCTTTGCATAAAGATAGCGGATATCTCGTGTACGGAAAGCACATCCGCAGATGAGGTACAAACAGCATAGGTACCTATATAGAATATGTGCAAAACTGCGTATAAAGTTATACGCAGCTGAGCCCGCATGAGCGACCACCCTCGCGGTTTTGCAGCAAATCGGTAATTGGTAGGGTTGACAGGAATAGGGATTAGATTAGGGTTCAGAACAGGGTTTAGCATTATATACAATATGCCCACAATGTGTGACAACGCACGTTTTTATTAATGTTTATTGCTTATTTGGCACAATGGGTGATACGTGTGACTGCAGAGCGTGAATTGTAGAAGCATCCGCGTCTTGAGCTAGGTCATGATCTGGGAAGAAATATTATTATACGCAAAAAAATTAACAACATTATTTAGAAATAGAGTTTATCAAAAAACGACCACTATAAAAAAGTTATTAGCAAATCTGTGTTTTCATGACTTGTAGTAACTTTTACTCTAAATATGTGAAGAATTGAGACGAAGCAAAACATATCTAAGCCACTTTGTAACGTGAAGAATTGACATACCTTCAGGTTTCGCCTTGTCGCGAAAACCATTGTTTTAGGGAAATAATGTTCATATCTAGCTTACCTACAAGTCCACGTAGGACGCTTTAGATGTACGAAGATTGTCGATTGTGTGTATCACTAGTTG